ATAATTAACATAATTAGTGTCCGTACATAGATGAATATCATTAATTATTAATGATAACACATAATTAAGTTAAACTGAGGAAATTTGTTATTTGAGAAGTGTGTGTCAAACTGGTAGCCCTTCACATTAATTTGTACCCAAGAAGTAGCTCTCACTTTCAAAAAGGTTGGTGACCCCTGGTCTATAATAATCATTTAAAGCTCCATGATTAAGAATTTGGAAGCAAATAAAGTCAAAGACAGCTAAGTCAAAAAAGATGCAGTTTGTCTTATTATTATCATTTTATATAAAGGTTGTCATATGTAATATACATCATTGTTGCATTATTACGTTTATTTATTTTTATTTAGGTGTATATCAACAGTTATTGTAATAACTGGGGTAAAAACCAAACTCATGTATGTTCCGTTACCTCTGATGACGGATAGAGTGAAGATAGAGTGAAGTCTTCAGACAGATTAGGGCTAACGCCGTCTGGTGATCCGTAACTTGTTTGAATGAAATCTCAGCACTTTCTGCAGCTTCAGGGGCTGCAGGCCTGCCACGTAGGCTATCCGGGCTACGTGACGGGACATCCCCACCAGCAGCCCACAATCAAACTGATTCTCATCACTGCTGTGTTAGTTACATCTACAAACAACATTTCATGGAGAGAAGTAAAAGAAAGAAAGAAGCCAACATTCCCATGCAACATTCATTCAAGCAAAGGGCTGGCGTGCCGAGAAACTGCGCTCTAACATCTGTAGTTTAAGCTGCTGTGAGTCGTACTTACCGAACCCCGATATTTCTCCAGAGATACCAGCTTACCCCTGCTATTCACAACTTTAAAAGTATAAAAGTCTTTCTGTTTGCTTTCAGCGAGGCTGAAGAAAGTCAGTAACACTGTGAGCACTGCAGGGAACATCTTTGCATTCAAACCACCAGCGGAACCAAGATAAACTCCTGCAGTCTTTCTCCGTCCGCCCCGCAGTCACCAGCAGTCTGCGCACCTCCTCTGCACTCAAGCTACACACAGCGATCAGCGTTTCCTGGGCAGGAAGCGCTTAACAAAAATAAAAGTCTTATTGGTCTTCGGTTGTATTCGGTATGAGCAGAAACTAGCAATTTAGCCTGTAAACTCGTGAGGAAAGTGTGTCTTGATGTCTCAGAATAACGGACCTGAGGCCCAGTTTAGGGTGCATTCCAGTTTTATTCAGGAAGGTTCCGTGAGAGCAGTGACGCAGAAGTATCTGTGTGGCGCCTTGGAGCAGTTCTAATTGTCCAAATACTACCAAATACTAAGGAAATAGTTGCTTTATCGCCACTTTTAGTATAAACTGGGATCATCCTTTATGAAAAGAGAGGAAAAAATGCCATTTCATAATTCATAGCAATGGACCATACATTCCTCCAACAAAGTTGACAAAGTGACACAGATCATTATCATTTATAGCTGTATTTTACAATTCATGCTGACTCGTGCCCAGTTGTTACCTTGCATGAAAAACACAGATTTTCATGAACTCTCGGTGTAGATCATGAACTGCGTGAACTGAGAAGTGTATTAAAAGCTCTGTAAGATTAAGGTTTGTCATATATATATATGTGTGTGTGTGTGTGTGTGTGTGTGTGTGTGTGTGTGTGTGTGTGTGTGTG